AAGAGCTCAAGATCATGGGATCTAAGAAAATCAAGTTGTTTTTTGATAACAAGTCAGCAATTGACTTGGCAAATTGTCGTGTGTGTCATGGTTAAAGTAAGCACATAGAAAATATGTATCATTTTCTTAGGGAATAATTAAATAAATGGAAGCTTGAACTTGAGCATCAAGGCAGAATGACAACTAGTTGATATACTCAATAAACCCTGAAGAAAGTCAGGTTCGTTGAGTTAAAGAAAAGCATTAGGATGAGAAGTCTCGAAAATATAAATTATGAGGTGTGTTAAAAGTTATAATCTAATGTTTTAGAATGCAATTTGTATTCTACTTAGGTGTGTTCGACCTAGTCGAAGTAACAAGCTTGTTGAGTAGGAGATAGTTGTATTCGAAAGAGTCAAATACAATATAGAATTATTGTGTCGAAGTGTATGTTTGAGTTTCCTATAAATAGGCATGTTATGATGTAAACACTTAACAGTTTTATAGAACATTTTTTATTTGATCAAATTCCATTTTCACTTAGAATTTCTCTCTTCTCATTTTTTTTAAAGAATTTAATTGATATGCACTGACAATGTAAAGATCTTTTACACTATTAGTTAATTACAACCGCTGATTTATGTGAAATGTTTGACTTTTATTTTAACCACTTGAAAAGTAATACCAACGGATGGTTGTAATGCATTGACAATACAAAACTTTTTACATTGACAGTGCATAACAATTAATCTCTTTTGAAAATCTTAATTGTTCGAACAATAAAGATTCTAAGAAATTAGTATATTGATCCTAATTAGTATCTATTATTATGAAATTTTAAAGAAAAGAGTCATTGTACTTTGTATTGAATTGTTAAAGAATAATTAAATCTCACTATCTAATTTTCTCTTTCAAATTACTTATCCAAAATCAAACTTAAAATGTCATTTTAAAAAGGCTTAAATAGTGTTTTCGTCCCGGTAAGTTAGCGTGTTTTTAGCTTTCATCCCTGAATCTTTTTTTTTTGTATGAGTCCCCATATATTTATTTGTCTTCGGCTTTAGTCCCTGTTGTCAATGGAACATTAAAAAAAAAGATGAGGTGGCAGACGGTGATGACCTGGCCTATGTTTTATCATTTGTTTTATTTTTTTAAAGAACACACATGGATATAGTTTTTAACGAGTGATCAAATTAAAAAGAAGTACATTTTTATTTCTGTTGAAAACCTTAAAAGAAGAACTTGGAAGTGTCAAAATTCAGGGTTAATGTCTGGTTGCAAGTTGTCATTTGGGACGATGAGCTTGAAAGAAATCCAACTAGTGATCTTAGAAGTTCAAGTGGTTGCAACTGCTCAAAAATGTTGAAGGATTTAGAGTCCATTGTTAAAGAGATTGAGATTGGCAAAAAGGCAAAGATGAATATTAAGTTGAAGAAGGAGAAGAGGAAAGCGTCTTTGTTGAAGCTAATGTTTGTTGTGTCATAGGGGTTCTTGTTTGCTTATCACAAATGGTGGTGAATCCCATTTGTTTATGTCTGTTTCTTTTTTTGTTAGTCCTTGTAACATTGATGTATTTTGAAATTGGTCCCTGTACAATATGATGAGATATTTTGGTTTTGGACAGTTTCTGTATGCAATTAAGTCAATTAAGGTATATGCCATATCAAATTGGTAATGGGCCATACCAATTGTCCATAAAACTAACTTGAGCCAATTTATGTATCAAATTGGTAATAGGCCATATCAATTGTCCATAAAACTAACTTAGCCAAAATACTGCAAACAAACTTGATATACTGCATTAAACAAACTTGATAATGTATCATACACATAAAGGCTTAAGCCAAAAAACACATTGTATCGTAAACATTAAGTCTTAAGCCAAAATACACATTGGCATCAAAATACATAATAGAAAACTACAAGGCTTAAGTACACCATTGTAGTAAAGTTGTCCAATAAAACATAAGTCAAAACAGGTCCAATGACTACAAATTCCATGGTACCCCCTTGTGCAGGGTTACTTCCTTCTCCTTTTAGCAGGGTTACTTCCTTCTCCTCCTTTGCGTTTGTTGCTTCTGAGCACCCTTGGTTCATCACTTTTCCTCAGCGTAAACTTCCTTGCGACCTTTTGTTTGGGTTGTTTTGCCTACAAAGACACAATGAAGCAGTTTCATTAAGTCAATTAAAACTGAGAACATGCACATTATGTCAATTAGTCAGTAGCATGACTCGACTAGTTTAAGAGGGGCATAAACAAGTTCCTTAGGAGAAGGTGCATGAATAGGTTCATTAGGTGTAGGCTCAACCTTTGGAACAGGTGCAAACAAAATGTAGTTTGGTTGTGAGTCACTAACTCCTTGTGAAACCATTATAGATGAAACATCAACAGTTGGAGCATGGAAACTAGCAACATTAGTTGGAGCTGGAATTTGGGAAGTGAGATCACTGACATTGGGTTGAGGGTGTGTTCTTTCAAAAGCTGCACAAAGATCTGCTGCAAGCATTTCAAACTTTGGGTCCACATGACATTGTGTTTATGGTTGTTCTTCAGTGGGAGGTTCATGATGAGGTTGTTGTTGTTCAGTAGAAGCTTCAGAGTTGTGTTGTTCAGTAGAAGCTTCAGGTTGTATTGTTTGTGTAGCATTTTTCTTTGGCTTTTCTGCACACAGAGTGATTCAATCAATATCACTTACAAACGGTTAGTAAGAATACATAATTGAGTTTAGTTAATACCTTTCTTTTCTGAGCTTCAGGGTCAGGCACTAGAACTGTACAACTCCTTGCATTACACCACAGTTGGTACAACAATAAAGTGTCTGTGTCCTTCCCTTGTTAGGGTCCTCATCAGGTACCTTCCTCCTTGGTTTCTTTGGCCTACCAGCTCCAATATCATCAACATTATCACCAATACCATATCCAGCATTATCACTAACATCATCCTTAATAAAATTACCAGCTTCAACATTGTCAAGATTATCAGCATTATCCTTAACATTATCAGCATCATTAACGATTTTATCAGCATCATTAACAACATTATCAACTACAACTACTCTATGCTCAACAAATAAATCCACACTACAACTAGTTTCAACAGTTTTTTCATAAACAACAGTAGTATCAATATCACTAACTATCCTTGCATGCTTACCCGATATATTGTTATACCACTATAACCAATAATCAGTGAACTCAAGATTGCGAAGTTCTTTCACAATATCAGTTGCTTCAAAGAAGCTCCACCTATCAGGGTCAATGTCTACTTCAACATTATCCCCACCTAAGTAGTACATGACATTATCCTTAACAAACTTCCCCCTATAATGAATGTTCACCATAAATGTCATACCTGGTAGATTCAATTAGGTCGCTCAATTAGGGATGTAGCTTCGCCGTCCTCCATCGCCTTGCCCAGACAAGCTCTCGCACCAGTCGCTTCACCTTTCCTGAGCTGAATTCCTTTCTAAATATGAAACCCTAATTTACATGGACTAAACATAAAAGAGGGAAATGTCTTTTGAATGACTTATTTTTGGGGGGGAAATATTATATCCACGTGTTCAAAGAAAATATAAATAAGAATGATAAGGAATAAACCAAGTCATCACCGTCTGCCATATCAGCTTTTTTTTAACGTTCCATTCATAGCAAATACTTATGCCAAAGAAAAATGTACATATAAGAACTCATAAAAAAAAAGATTCAGGGACGAAAAGCAAAAAGTCACTAATTTACAGAGACAAAAATACTATATAAGCATTTTAAAAATTTATTTGTCTATTTGCGCTGAATATCCTAAATTAAACAAGTTATAAAAGTTAAATAAATAAATTAAATCTCTCACACTTAATTCACTAAAAATGTATATAAAAAAAATGTTACCGTATCACATACTCATATATTCAAGATTAAAACTATTTCATATAGTAGTTAACAAATGCCGCATTTACTTAGTTTATATATATATATATATATATATATATATATATATATATATATATATATATATATATATATATATATATATATATATATATATATATATATATATATATATATATATATATATATATATATATATATATATATATATATATATATATATATATATATATATATATATATATATATATATATATATATATATATATATATATATATATATATATATATATCAATAATTTAAATGTAATATAAATTTAATTTTTAAAATAATAAAGTATATTAATTTTAAAATATAAATTGTTTGATGTCGATTCAATGATCACAAATTTATACCTGCGTGAATGCATTCTCTCAATGATCACATTCCAGATGACACAAGAAAATGCAAAAATAATTCCAATCGCAAATGACACGAGAAATTGCAAAAATGACTATCAATTTGCATATCATCAAAGAAATAGAACCTAGGTTTGATTTTTCTCTTTTCTTTTTCTTTTTTTTCCCTAGCTTTTTTTAGTCTTTTTATCTCTTTGATTCGTTTTATTACAAACATATTTTTGACTTCCAAACATCACCCTTTCCTTTAATGTAGAACATTTTCTTTATTTGACTAATGTTTAGACTCCTATTACATTTCTTTATATTTAAATTTTTATAATTAATATTAAAATACATCAAATGATAATTTTCATGGATCTTTTTATTTTTAATACAAACAAAATTTTAAAAAATAGAAGCAAACATATGAAAGAAGCAAATGAACAAGAGAAAATGATACACTACTACACAGAAACATATTAGGAAAAGGACAAGAACAGTCTTCCATAGAAAAACCTGCTCACAATTACTTGTTCTGTTATATTCCAAAACCACACCAATCACCAATGCTTACACACCAACTTCACCATAACAATAACAACCAAACCTCAACACTCTCTTTTTCTCATTTTACATGCCATGTCATCATTATTCCATTCTTTTCTTTTCCACTTGAAAAGCTGAAAATTATTATTTCAGTGTAACAAACAAACTCAAACAACACCATCTCCTCTCATTTTACTCATTCCTCAAAAATGGATACTCCACCAAACCACACTTCCTCAAATGACCTTCTCATTACCGTAACCGTTTTCGCCGTTACAGTTATCGTTTTCGTAACGATCTATTTCATCTTCCGTTACCGTCGCAATAGCGTCAGCCGTCGTTTAACTCCTTCGTCGTCCTCCACAGTTTTGTCATCCGGCAATAGAATATCGCCGGAGATTTCTTCGTCTTCGTCTTCCGTAGTCGATTCTCTCCCGATGTTTACTTTCTCTTCTATCAAACGCCGGTCCTCCTCTGTTGTCTCCGGTGACTGCGCTGTTTGTTTGTCGAAGTTTGAGCAAAATGATCTCCTCCGTCTCCTTCCTATTTGCTGCCACGCATTCCACGCGGAATGTATCGACGCTTGGCTCCGATCGAATCTCACGTGTCCGCTCTGTCGTTCAGCTGTTATCGCTTCAGAATCGGAGCTTGTGAAGATTTTCCGGCCGGCGTCCTCTTCATCTGATAACAGTTTCCGTTTGGAATTAGGAAACGTCAGCAACCGCCGTGGAGCCACCGCATCTGAGAATGTCAGCGGAGAAAGCGACCGGAGGTCATACTCCGTCGGGGCGTTTGAGTATTTCGTCGATGAGGAAGCTGAGATTCCGTTCGGTCACACTAACCGAAGAATTGTTTCCGGTGAGAAAGATGATGCACCGTCAGTGCCGACGGAAGAAGTTCCGGTTCCGGTGGCTTCTCAGGTGAGTTTGGTCGGTGAAGGTAACTGGCTGAAGGATTACATGGATAGTCTCTGGTTTCGAAATTCTGGAAGGTTCTTCAATGGTAGTAGTAGAAGAAACGACGTTGTTGGAGTTCAAGATTATGATGTTGAAGCTAATACATTTGGGGAAGAAATCAGTGAAGTGTTTAGATGGGTATCAGGGTTTTGATTATGAAAATTAATCATGTAATTAAACAATATAGTTAATAGGGTTTTCAATTTTCTGAAAATAATTTTATTTTATGTGCATATAGACTCAGATATTATCGAAGGAGTTTCAAAATTATTTTTCTTTGGTTTGGCAAATTATTTAACAAATATGTTTGATTGATTTGGTTAGTGATGGTACTATTTATTTAATGTCATTATCAAAGTAATTAATTAAGTTACATTCAAAGTTGTGGTTTGTGTGTGATATTTGCTATCTTTTAGAAGATCTCTCAAAGTGTGTGGTGAAAATAGAATCAATGAATGAATGTGAATGTAGGTGATTTTGTATGATATGGAATATGGATTACCAACCATATCAAGTTAAACCAAAAATACCTTACTTGTGGAACAACATGTGAAGTACTGGTACTTTATTAGTCCATTTATTAATGTTGGTAAATGACAGCTAAACTAGAATTTATTTTGAGTATCCCTACTACTGTTGAATAAACTGACCAAGAGAATGATTTTCTGAATTACTAGGCATTGATTTGGGCTATACACTTTATACTACTGGATATATATTTTTTTAAAGAATAGTAGTTATTGTCATCGCAACGATCTGTAAATGTTTGATTTATTATTTTTCGTACTTGTAGTTGTTTTTCTTTCAGATATGTCTTTTTTTTTTTTTAATAAAAAAATCTCGGGTTTTTTATCTGCTTTTTCTTAATAGCAAAGTGTATTATTTTTTAATTTAAAGAGGATCTCTCTAATTAATTTGTTGATGGTATTTAAAAAAAAATTTAATTGTCAAACTTTTTTTTTAAAGATGCTTAAGTAAGACGTTTTTCTTTTAAGAATAAGTTATATGGTTTTATTTAATTTATATTCAAGAAGATGGTTTGATGGGAGAGATTGGTCGGATCTTAGTTGTGTGTCCTACTTTGAAAAATAAGAACGACTTCGTGTTGTGCAATCACACGTTCGTGAAATGGATTCAATAGAGTCACTACCGAACTTTATTTGTTTCTAAAGAGAGAAAGGGAAAATATCTATAAAACTCCTAAATGAAAGGATAAGATATGATCATCACAATAGTTATCGGGTTCGAGAGTCGGTTACGCAAAGGAAAGATATTAGTACCCCTCACGTTTGTTGTACTCAACGGAAACCATTTGGTTAGTTGTACGCATTAGTGTTTGCTATGACATGTTAGGCTTTTCGAGTTATTAAAAGGAAAGAGGAAGAGATAAAAAAATGTTTATTTTTTATCATGGTGCTCGCCAAGATCCCACAATCTCGTAGTTCATAGTAGAAAATAAATGTGTGTTGGTTGTTTCTATACATTGAAAAAGGGTTTGAGAGATCACACAACGATGATAAAAGGATTCTATACGTTGAAGTATTTTTGAATTGATGAGAGAGTTCGGACGGTCAAAAACTACATCTCGTGTCCTCCTTCTCAGGAGATCGTTGACTACACGCCGATCCTTTTTCATCTTATTTGAGAAAGAGTTTCAATATTTTTATGTATTTTAAAGTTTGATTGAGAAAAGGCGCTCGAAACTAATCGAGGTTTAATACATGTTGAATTGATTATAGGATGACGAGAGCTCGAACCACGAGAACTACATCTCGAATCCTCACTTTTGGGAGATCATTGACTACACCCTGCTCATTTTTCATTTTTTTATTGAAAAGTGTTTGATAGTCGTTAAGTGTTTTTTCGATTTTTGATTGAAAAATGACTTGATGTTGGGTCAAGCATTTTGATGATTGTTTGTGAAAGCGTTTGTGTGAAAGTTTGAAAATGATTTTTGAACCGTTTGAAAATGGTTGAAGTCAAGGTGATGATGAAATCCACTTGGCGTTGGACAAAAGATTTTATTTATTTTCGAAAGATTGATTTCATTTTGTACGTTCATGTCTTATTTAATGATTAAAGGTCATCAGGTGAGAATAAATCATACAATCAAAATAAGACATATGATCATCCATGCAATTGACATGTAACAAGTAAGGACATGCAAACAAATACACACTCAATAAGGATCAAACAAATCAAACAGTGAATTATGATTTATATCTAACAGAATTTTAAAACAAAGAAAACAAAACCTAATTCATACATCTAAAATTCAAATTCAAATTCAAATTATGTTGGTTTAAATGAAATGAGTTAAAAATGGGAGAGAAAAAGATAAATAAAACCAATTAGACATTATATCCTTTTTTTAATGAAAGCTAACATAATTTTTTATGGATTAAAGAAAAGTTAAAATCTTTATTTTAAAACCAAAGCATTCTCTCTTTTTTTTTATAAAAAAAGGAAATAAATGAAATGGGTTGTGTGAGAACTTGATCGCAAGGTGTGGTGAGGTCCAAAATAGGACCAAGTATAAGCAGCTCAATAGGGCATGCATATTAGAGAGGATATCGGGTTGTGCTCATCCCAACCGGATCCAACTTAACCCACGCAACAAAACAGAAACAACGGGTCACAAGGAACCCTAATACATCATTCTTGTCTCATAGCCGTGTTTCTTCCCTATTCTCTCACTCTGTTGAAACGATTCCGACCCCAAACCAGTTTGCCATGAATCCAGCTTGGAATTGAAACAAATACACATGAAAGACAAGTCTTGCTAAACATAAAGCATGATTCTAATAGTCTCACAAGCAAAACCTAGCCCTTGCAAATACACCCTACGCGAGCTTGAAATCCAAAGCAAACAAAATCCACAGACATACATACAAAAACAACGACAACGAAGAACAAGATAAAATGCACACATCAAGCAGCATATCAAGCATCATATCTAACCCACCCCAACAATCCCTAACCCCGGTTTTTTCTCATTATTTTGGTTATTACAGCGAGTACACAAATGGAAAAAAAAAGTCAAATGAAGAAGATGAAGCAAAACATCTACCGAATGGCGCGTGAAAATCCTATGTAAGTAGATTCCCTCGATTTATTTTCCTTTTTCTTAATTTGTGTCGCTTCTTTTGTTGTTATGGTGAGAAGTCAAGCTCGGATTCTGCAGAGATTCAATTTGAAGCTCTGTTGAACCCTTAGGTAGATCTTTGAGGTGAATGAGGTTGGATATCTTCGCAGAGCTTTGCTAGGGCTTTTTCTCTATTTTTTCCCCTCATTCTAGGTATGAACAATGAGTTTATATATAGGGGAAATGGAAAAAAAGGAATATTCCTCTTAGTCAGTGAGGAACTTTTGTCATCCTTATCCAATCATGAGTTGTATAATGTGTAACACCCTTTTCTACCCCACAATTAAATGGCAAAATATTCACATATATCAGAGTAAAATATTAAACACAATAAAATCACCTCAAAGGGCGTACATTTCTCAATAAATCAAATATAAGTCAAAGCTCCGTAAACAACGGGTTTTCCCAAAAGATATCAAAAATTTCACAAAGGCAGCAGAACTCAAAAGGCATAATCCCAAAGTTTTCCTTATACGGAAAGATAATCAAAATAACACAATAAAACATGGTTTAACTCAAGACCCCAACCCGATGTTATACTATCAGAGCAAGACCCTCTAAGTTAACCAAAAGGCCAACAACTAAAAACTCCAAAAATATCCTCGACGGCGTCCACGGCTAAACCTGGTCATCTGCACGTTACCCACGTGGAGGCAACATTCAAACAGGCAGGGTGAGTAAAACGATTCATAATAATCAATGTAGAAAATCAATATATAAAATGGCATCATTTTCATATTCAACATCATCATATTCATCAATAGGCATCAAAGGTCACAACATCATAAATTACTCAAGATTATCTCATAAATGCAAATGCAACAAGACTCAATGCATGTGGTATCAATAATCACAACTCGATGAACACTAGGCCATCAACCCTCTATAGATCCCTATCAATAGGATCGATTCTACTCGAGAACCGGAGCATATTAAAATACCTCACATCCACACAATGGGATTGAAGCCAAAGAAATCAAGGCCCTGAACCGAAGTCCAGATGCACACGTCAATAATCATCCTCATAACAACATCATAGTTGCATCATCATTCATCATAATCATCATCATCAAAAATCATATCATCATAGAATCATCAAAACTCATAGAAATATCATCATAGTTCATCAATCATTACATCATAGGAAATATTATATAATCACATAGAAATCACAGTCATACTCATATTAATTCGTCAAAGAAATCACAACATCAAAACATCAAGGCATCACTACACAAAATCAAAATTCGCGAAACTCTGCTACATTCGCTAGCAAGTTCGCTGTGCAAAGGATTTTTCGCAGTGTGAGTCTGGGACGAAATTGTTCGTTGTGCGAACAACGCGATGACAACAAAATTCTGTTACGCACCAGAACCTAAAATCAACCCAAAAGCCCCACGATTCACTTCCCCAATGCCCCCAAAACATCCCTAAATCATCCCTAAGGTCTTACGGCGATAAAGGCACAAAACCTACGGTTTATTAGGCCAATCTCATATCATATTCATGCTCTAAATCCCATAAACCCTTACCACTACACCACAATCATCAGAGTTTTTCACTATCAAATTTCCCTACAGGGTTAGACAAATGTCAAATCAGAGCTTTGGCCATGAAGGCCTAATTTCCCTTTCACCCAAATAAATCCCTACGGTTAAAATCTCAATAATAGATTTAGGCCACGAAAGCCAAATTCCCTTTTTTCTCATAATCATCCCCAAAATCCTTAAACCCTTAAATCGGCCTTAAATACATTGAAATTGTACATTGAAAATAATAAAGGCAATACTCCCCATACTTTAATTGTCGACTCTAAGCCTTCTCAAATCTTTCAGAAAACCTTTCGAAGCTTTTGCCTCAAATCTCCTCCTCAGAGCTCTGGCCTCAATTCTTTTCACGGTCTAACAAAATGAATCCTAATCCCATTACAATTCCCTTTTTGTTAAACCTAACCTTGGGTCTCAAAATTGGGCTTTCCTAATATTATCCTCAATAACTCCTTCTCAAT